AAGCTGATACAAAGTCTCAGTTGGACTCAGTATCATTTGAGGGATGGGTATTAAATATGCTTTCTGTAATTGAAACAAAGCCTTAAATATATTGCTGTGTCATATGGCACATACTATAGCGAACTCTGACACAAATTAAATAATCTTTTTGACTGCTTATTTCTCTATTATATGTTAAAGGGGTTTATTCCAAACATGAACCTGTATGCTGTAATCGATTTCTACTTTTCTTATTTGAAACTTCTCATTGTTGATAAATTGTTCTGTAATCAGACCACCACCAAAGAGAAAGATTGTATTCATTTCAGTATAAGCAATAGCCAAGAATAGGGAAAACTGGAGAGCTCTTTTTGGGCAGAGCAATGGACCTGTCGTAAGACAGAACTCTAAATAATAATAATAATAATAATAAGCAATGGCAGACTGAACAAACATGTCTAACAGTATTAAGCCTAATACAGTTGACTCCAAGATTTTCTACTGCCATAAATGTGCACTATGAGGGTAAATTGAAAAAATAATCTATTAAAATGTGGGAAGAAATCTGGATAATTGAAAATAAGTGTCAAGTAGGTGTGTGTATAAAGAAATTTTATGTGCAGGTCAATGTGTTCATTCTCAATAATATAATTTGTATTTTGAATTTCTAGCTTAGAAATGTGATAAATACACTCTATTCTATAATATGCAGCACTTTGAGATGGTTTAAATTGCAATCAAATCCATACGTATGCATAAACTGTAGGATTTAAGTGTTGTGCCTAAAAGGTTGGCACTATTGTTGCATAATTAACAACAGGATTTGAGAGACATAGCATATCAACCAATTTAGAAACATTACGTATATAGTCTGCAGAAATGACTGCTACAAAAAACTTTTGTCTATCATCTTGTAAGAGATAAGTGGCCAATATTATATGTTCTTTGGTGTTTCCATTTGGTGTGTTAATTTTGCCACTTGCAAGAAAACATTCCACAGTAACTGTGTTTTTAGCTCTTGATCTGCACATTGTTTAACTGTCACTGTGCAGTGTATTCAACAATCAACACACTAATAAAATAAAATTGTGGGATATGTTGCATGATAAACAATGGTTCATACAAATATTAAAGAAATGCCATTGTTCTGAACTGTTAAAACAGACTGATGTTTGAAATTACTAAGCTTAACTCTAATATGCATATCATGTCCAGCCATTGTGATTACATCTGGCCATGGATATAAATTGTGTTTCCAGACGTAAAGTTCCGTGTTCCAGTTTGTCCTTAGAAAAGAGTATAATTTTATGCAGATTCCATACAGTTATGTTTTAAGTATTGAAGTGAGGAATTGGACTTCACAGTGTTTCTGACAGATGTCTAATGTAAGTCCAGACTGGAGACATTTAATGTCAGCAAAATGTAATATATTTTGATTTTTTTATATTACTGCAGGTTTTGAACAAATTACCACCAAGGAAAATGATTTTAAAAAAGGTAAAATTAAAGTAAATGTTATATGTTCCACATGCCAACCCACAAGTGTGGTGGTTTTGGTATATCTTCTATTACAAAAATGTAAGACAAACTAAATTACATCCTTCAACATGCAGTGCCTAATAATCACCCCCTTGTGTATGTATGATCCTTTTCTCTTTGAATACTTAAGAATTAAGTGGGCTTCCATCTGTGAAGAGTTCTATGCTACCAATCTATGAATTTGGCATGTCACCATCTGTAGCAGCTTTACCTCATATTTCTGTTTGGGCATCAACAAAGAAATGTAGAATAAAATTTCCTATTCTGATACATTTTTGTCATTAAATGCCAAATATCAGGGGTTCTGGCATCAGTGACACTAACGTTGCTATTGAGAAAGATGTTTCAATAACATAAAATGCTGAAACATTTTTTCAGAAGTAGGATTTGAGGTTTTCATGGTGGTGAGTTTGAAGATGGCTGTCTTCTGGGTTGTTGTACCGTGTGGTCCGGTAGAAGTTTCCAACGTTTCAGAGGTCCTTGCTGCCTCCATCATCAGGGCGATGGTGGAGGCACGTGTTCCACATCTTCGGCTAATACTGCGAATTATTTCTGATATTAAATAAACTGTAATTTATATGTTTCTAATCCGTGGGCACATATTAAATGCGGAGCCGTATAACAGTTCATCATTTCTATTTGGTATCCATAACGGTAATGGAATCGCAATAAACTGTGTACCTTGCATAGTTAGACTGAGTTATATATCGGTGTCTATGTTTATATTATCTGTGTGTCAAAGGCATGCCTGTGTTATATCTGTGATATGTGGTTGTGTGTTTTGTTCAGACTATTGCAATGGGACCACACAGTAGGAAAATTAAAGGTGAAAATCATTCGTTTACTGATCTGAAACGGCTGAAGAAGGACAAAAAGAAATTGAAAGAAGAGAAGTTGCTGAAACTTATGGACGATGGAAGCGTCGATCCGAAATGTACTATTGAAAACAGCGAAACAAAAATCCCTGCCATGTCTACACTTAGCATAGCAGTACCAGGATCTATCATTGACAATGCACAGTCTCCAGAACTTCGTACATATCTCGGTGGACAGATTGCACGAGCCGCCTGCATCTTTAAAGTTGACGAAGTAAGGTTACATTTAATTTTGCGCTGTTGAAATTGTGCAGGCATTATCTTCAAGCGTTGTTTATTTACACATACGAAGTTATCTTACGTTACTCAGTTACTGAACGTTTACATATGCATTTGTCACTTTGGTTTCTTCTTGGTCAGTGAATTTACTTATAATTTTAATTTTCGAACAGTGGGGTTGCAGTGGCATTCAAATCTGTACTTCACTTGTGCCTTCTTTTCCAAACCAGACATTGTGGGACATGGAGACTCACATGATTTCTTGCTCCCTACCTCTAGGGACAGGACAGCTCAGAGTGGCATTAGCTATTAGCAGTAGTGCAATTTTGAAATTATTGAGTTCTGATATTGTGTCTGTCTGCCTTGAATAACTTCTGAACATAGTACAATGAAATTTTATGAATGTTATGCCATATGAGGTCATCGGCCTTCATACTTCTAATTCTGTATAGTTATAATATTTAATTGTGCATTCAGTAATATAAATTGTTAAGCCCAGTTTTTGTCATATTGTTCCTACTTAACATGGTACACAAAGCATGTCTTATGTTGGAATTATGTTACTATAGTTCCTTCACTTTTAAAATATATCTAACACACTTTACATTGCCATTCTAAATACATTTAGTAAAGCACATGATGTTGAGCTAAACAACATTATTCCCATGAGACTGTTTGGTGAAAGTATGGTCCAGTATATTTTTTTCTTCACAATATTACTTCAACATTGCTGTAAACTGTTATGATTAATTTCATAAAACACATGAACCCACACACGTCTAGGTAATGAGCAAAGTAGTTAACATTAAATATTTGTTTCTTTTTTTTAGATTGTGGTGTTTGATGATTTGGGTAATAGAAATATTGCTGATAATTCTATACAAGAGGATATGGAAGGAAGGATTGTGAGACACTGTTGTATCCAGCTGGCAAGGATATTGCAGTATCTTGAATGCCCACAGTACTTACGGAAATATTTCTTTCCTATTCATAAAGACTTGCAATATGCAGGCCTCTTGAATCCATTAGATGCCCCTCATCACATGCGACAAAATGACAAATTTTCTTACAGGTGTGGTTTATGAGAGAATATACCTATACTTAGTTCTGTTGGTCTAAAAGTAAATTTGAATCTTTATATTCTTCATAAAAGAGAGGACCACAATTGACATCTTCACTGCCATGAGAACCTGAGATCTCAGTTTGATAAAAGAGGATTGATTCTACTGCCATACCAAGGTGTATACTGCCATACTGCATAATTCTGTTAATATTATTTTCTATTACAAATAATTGTTTTTTGTGGAACACTGAATTCACTATGGTAAGTAAAGCTGCCCTGCTCTATGTCATGTAGTCGCTTGGGGAGAGAGAAGGCATAGCTCCTACTCATTCTTAACCTCAGCACTAGTTAGGGGTGAATGGTCAGCATCATGCCCCAGCCACATGTAACCCCCGGGAAAGGACTGTGACTTATTGCATCATCCAGTGTACCATTTTGTGCATCATACTAGATAATGATGTGGCAACTGAAGGACAATGAAAGACCAAATTTGTAAAAAATGTAGAATATGCAGTATGGAATGATTTCATTCACAAACCAGCATTTTGATTGCTTTGGTATGAATCATGCTTTATAGAATGGTGGTGTACATATTTTATCTAACACACTATTCTAGAGACTCTGGACCATGGTCTTCTGAGTTGCATTAACATCTTGTAAGTGGCTACTAACATTTTGGAGGAATGTATCACTATCTTCTACTTCTGTCCTGAAGATGGAGGCAATGTTTGAACAAAATGTTGTTCACCATTTACAAGATTACACAGCATCACAACTCAGAGAACCACACTCCACATTTTCACCACTGTGAAAACCTCATATCCAGTTATTGTAATATACTGTTGTGATTTTCAGGGAAGGTGTCACAACTAACCTGCCAGCGAAAGCAGGCAAAGGTTCTGTTGTTAACTGTGGTCTCCTCAAAGATGTAAGTGTGGATAAGAACTTAACACCAGGCATCCGTGTGACAGTGAAGCTTTTGCAATCTCGTGAAGGTTCAAAAAAAATTCACGGAATAATTGTACCACCATCTTTGCCATCAGCAGAGACAGGGGTGTACTGGGGTTACACAGTCCGGATAGCACAGTCACTAGGGGAAGTGTTCTCACAAGCCCCATACACTGGAGGATATGACCTCACCATTGGAACTTCTGAGAGGGGAAACAAAGTAGATGACATTCCCCAGAGAAGTCTTCAATACAGTCATGCAGTTGTTGTATTTGGAGGTCTCCATGGTCTTGAAGCAGCATTGGATAATGATGAAGTATTGACAGTAGATGACCCAGCTTTGGTATTTGACCATTATCTTAACACTTGTTCTGGGCAAGGGTCAAGGACTATAAGAACTGAAGAGGCTATTTTGATTAGTCTTGCAGAATTGCGGTCAAAATTAATTCCAAAATTAAACAGTCCTGTGGGAAAGTAGTGATTTTCATGGAGTGTTTAGGACAATAAAGTGTTCTGTACAAAAATATTTATTTTATCTTCAGCTATACACAATATTTTAAGTTCTCACTCAGACTCGGTAATATTTTTACAGAAATCTTGATCCATACATTTCACCTCTCAAGCTGACATTTTTGAATTGATCCTTCCACTATGTCTCTCATTGTTGCTATTACTTTTCCTGGATCCTCTGCTCCTACCACAGCTGTACCTGAGACAATCATATTTGCACCAGCCTGGAAGAAACACATTATCTCACATAAAGCAAAATTAATATAACCAAGTTTTGGGGCTAGCAAGGCTCACCATATTCAGGTTATATAGTATGTGTTGTAGATATACAGCTCCTAAAACATTGTTTAATTTTAATAAATATTGTAAACTGGAATACTGTGCATCCATAATTTCTAATAAGAAACTACCAAAACTGACATGCAAGGTGCTTTTCTACCCTAAGGCCCATTTTACACAATACATTTTTCTGATGGATGCCAAAATCAATGGCCTGTTAAGAAAAATAGATGAAGCTGAAATGCAATAGGTGAAACAAGCAGCTTCACACTGCCGTCATCCAGTGAAAATCTTCTACCCTCTATGGCTCAGGCTTTCTCCACACCCAATCAACTTGATCATATGTTTCCAAAGTTGCTTGAATTGCACACCTTGTGTGGCATATTTCCATACAGCAATGGAGTAACCAGAGAATACATATTTCTTCTTGATACTTTTCATTGCAACCACCACTTTGCATATGCATTAGGATTAACCTATTGTGTCATCCACGAATACCAGATATATGGTTGATATATTCCAGCATAGTAATATATTTGCAAATGTTGAGTAGTGTGGACATGCAGCTGGAGGATGCACTCAATTTGTAAAAGATAAAAATTAATATATGGTATTACATATGACTTCTAAGCCTATATTTACTTACCTCTATTATTTAATATTAGTTCCCTCATTAAATTTTATTGTTAAAGATTTGCATATGCAGTAATTCTATCAAAGCTACTTAAGTTACAGCTTATGGAGGTACCCAATTTGTTAATGTTGTGTTTTCAGGAATGTAATCATAACATAATTGATCATTTCTATTTTTGCATTTTGTCTGTAACAAACAGACCTACTTCCAGAGCACTATACTTAACTATAACATGCTATTCATTTTCAACCAATACTTTTTTTTCCAGTGATTCACCAATTTTTAAGTCTAGCAGAAACACATAGTGTGAAAATGTTCTACTGTAGCATGTGACAAGGCAACAATTTAGTAACAGATCAACAAGTCTGACAACCACCTGAAAAATATATCATATGGAAGCAATATAATGTCTCTACAGTTAGCTTATCAAGGACATCAAAAAACATACCTCAGCACAGTCTTGAATGGTGGTTAGTCCTACACCACCATCAACTTCAATATCTAAGTCAGGATAATTCTGTCGTAACCACTGAACTTTCCCCATCATGTCCTTCATAAATTTTTGTCCACCAAAACCAGGTTCTACTGTCATAACCAAAATCATGTCAGCTTGATCTATATACTGTTGAACTGCTTCTACACCTGTTCCAGGCTTAAGAGCTAGGCCAACCTAGAACACAGAAATGATGCAAAACTGTTCACAAAATTGCCTTTTAAGTAGTATCCAATATGTTTTGCTGTTTATTTCCTTGATATATAATTTAAGTAAAGTAAAAACTAATAAAGATGGTTTAATTACAAGCAGAACACAATTATAGTTGTTTTCAACATGAAACCTAAATCAGTTAGTGCTTTTCCCACTGTGAAAAGAATTATCTTGCTACCTTTTAAATTCTTATGCATAAATGGTTTATAAAGAATAAACTGATTTAATATTCTTACTTTCATTCCCGCTTCTCTTACTTTTCTGCAGACAAACAAAACATCACTGCAAGGCTCCACATGAAAAGTGTATTGGTCTACACCAGCATCAGCCATTGGCTCAATCCACTGAAACAGTAAAATGTTGAGGTTAAATAAAAAATTATAGCATCAGCCATTGGCTCAGTCCACTGGAACAGTAAAATGTTGAGGTTATATAAAAAACATTCTATCTTAAAAATTCTGAAAATTATCTTTAATATAATGAACTGCAATATTTACCTGTTCTGGTTTAGTTACCATCATATGTGTCTCGAAGAAAGCATCAGAGATTTTCTTCCTTAAACATTTCACAACAGGATGCCCAAATGTGATATTTGGAACAAAATGTCCGTCCATAACATCTAAATGTAAGTAATCTGCTCCGCTATCTAAGAGCCTCTGCGATTCATTGTGAAGTTCCGCAAGATCGGTATTTAAAACAGAAGGTCCAATTTTACATATCACGCCGGTTTTCGCCATTGTGTTTAAATCGGTGTGCACTTGTTAACACTTTGGTATTATCTGTGCTCATGTATAAGACGTGAACTACCATAGATGACATACCAACCTACTATGCAGTACACAGTTTGCAGCGCGCTCGAGGATAACTAAACCTGCCGTGATCCACGCTGCTGTCTTTTTATTCTTTGGTGAACGTTACACTAACGTAGCAGGTGTAAGCGTAAGTCTATATGCGTAACTGTTATCGTCGCATCCACTTCGTAATTGCACTAATGTTATCTTTCGTGCCTTACTCTTTGGGTAGTGCAAATTTGCAATGGAGTGAAACTGTACGAAACCTATCATTTTCTGTGGGATAAAAATTCCAAATATTACAACAACGACCCTTAGGATGAGGTTCCCTAAGTTATGGACACTACTTAAGAGGACTCCAAAAGATGACCAGTCTACTTTCGTCTGTAAGAACAAAGCAAAAATACAGAAGGGCTATGGTAACAGAAGCGGAATGTACGTCCTGTTGTAATTTTGACAGACATCATTGTGACATATTTTCCAAAGCCACACTTTGACGAATGATATTTTTATGACAGTTTTATTTACATGCAAAAAAAACACATTTTTGTAATAAGCTCTAAAGTTAAATTGCATTTATCACAATGAATAAAAATACCTCAATTGCATTTTGCAGGCACAATTTAATGTAGCGTTAAAGAGATACTTAATTACACATTCCTATTACTCTGTGGATAAATTTCTATTGTTTACAAATAAGTGAAAATTTATCTTGTATGTAATGGGTAGATTTATTTGTAACTTATCATTACTTTAGGTGAACCCTTTGTATTATGTGAAATTTATATAATAGTATGAATTGTACTTTATATGTATTGTAATTATTATTATGACTTTTTCCACATCCTGTTGTCATCTGACTATCTTATGGATTCATGGAATGTAATAAAGATGTATGTATATATATATATATATATATATATATATATATATATATATATATACATACATCTTTATTACATTCCATGAATCCATAAGTTAGTCAGATGACCATACAAGTCATACTGTTATATAAATGTCACAAAATACAAACAAAGTGTTCACATAAAGTAGAGATAAGTTCAATGTAGTGCAATTTCTTTTCAATTTGAATTACACCTGCATGACTTGTTTCAAATAGGAAGTAACGTAGCCATAGTTCCTTTGTCCGTGTTCCTCCAGCTTACAACTAGTTTACGATATCATAATTAAATGCACCAGGTGGTGTATGTTCATCTGTGGAACTAGTGTCTTTCCTCAGAAAGTTGTAAATATGTGTTATGGTCATTACAGTAAGTTCATATTCTTCCCTCTGCAGTAACAGTGACTTTCGTAATACTCGGAAAATAGTGGAAGTGAGTTCAAGTAGATTTTTTACCACTTTATGTGCTCTACATTGACTATAAATAACAATTATTAAGATTGGTACCCTGAAATACATTCCTGAGAAAAGTTTCTTTGTATTTTCTTGTAAAAAATGACGAACAAAGGAATATGATATCGCCTTCTTTCTTCCTGTCAAACCTACTGGTGGCAGAAAACCGAAAGAACCATTGTAGGATTTGAGGTTTTCGCCGCTGTGAGTCTGAAGTTGCCTGTCTTCTGGGTTATTGGGCTGTGTATACTTCTACCAGACTACACGGCGCAACAACCCAAAAGACAGCCATCTTCGAAAGAACCAATCTTTATGCTCATTTGCTTTCAGTTCAGAATTCCTGAAGATGTTTTCATCTTAAATTCTTTCTTTACAGTCTGCGCCTACAAATATGAAACTGAAATTCGTGTCGATCAGAGCAAACAGAACAATACTGAACGTTGACTTGTAACTGCAGATGTCGCTTCCGCTATTGAAGTTTGCCTGCAACGCAATATGATTCCCAGTCATTGATCCAAAACGATACGGAAAATTCTGTGAATTTTCAAACTGTTCATAAACAGCTAACCACGTTTCTGGTGTTGCAGGTATCAGCAGAAGAAATAAAAAGTAGAATTTCTTCTCATTTGAAGAACTTAAAAGCGTTTATTTTATTCGAGAAACCCATTGCCTTCGTAAGAAGTAGACGCCGTTCAATATTGTCATGTAATGAAGATAAATTTGGTGTGTGTGTGTGGGGGGTGGGGGTGGAGTATGCAGATATATAGTATCTGCAGCGACCTGTTGCCCATCATCAGCGACTTAGTTCAGGCTACTTATCAAGTTCAGTAGAATTTTATTTTGTATGTCTGTATTCTGTTTGCTTTTCGGAGGCGTTTCGTTGACCTATCATCTGACCTTTTTCTTCGACTAAAGTCACTCGGAGAGTGATGAGCCTGTAAGGAAATGGGCGGTCGCCTTGGGCAGCAGAATTGGGGGTAGCATGAAACTGAATAAATGAAAAAGAGAGAGAATTAACGTAAAATACAACTTTGTTTTTCCACCAACAATACTGGGTATGTTCACAATTGGTTGATTGTATGGTGAAGTCGTCTCTGGCAACACAAGTCCTTGCCTTGTTAATGAGCACCCGCGTAATCGAAGGTAAGAATGTATTAAAGTTTTACAGGAGTAGTGAATGGGCCTGTAGGTTTTCCTAAATGAGCCTAGCAATGAAGATATTGATATTGAAAGACAGGTGGTTGACTATCGGGACTGCATTTTTTGTTGAAATGTTGCTTCAAAATGTAGTTTTTTCCCGCTCATTTCTGTAATGACGTCTCCACTTTGCGATGTCACGTGGCTCTATCATACCGGCTTGCATGTGTGAAATCGATAACGGCAAGGATGTAAAAATAACAAACAATGCACATAAATTTATAATTATCGTTTTAGATTAATTACGTTGATATAAATTTATTTTAAGAGGTAACAAAAGTGTTGGTTCATCAGGTATTGTGGCATGGCCGTTGTGGCATTGGGCACGTGCGTGAGGTTTGGTTGTGGGAGACGGACGTAGTAACAAATTGCATTGGAAATGAAGTACATTTTGGTTACTGGTGGAGTTATAAGCGGTGTAGGAAAAGGTGTTATTGCTAGTTCTTTCGGAACTATTTTGAAATGCAGTAACATCCACGTGACTTCAATCAAGATAGATCCGTACATCAATATTGATGCTGGCACGTTTTCACCGTATGAACATGGTAACTGGCTGAAATTACATTTAAGGTCTGGCTGTTTGGTATACGTTTAAAGTTATCTTTTATGTCGGACTGTTTGATGTACTACTCCCTTTTTTACATTTTCGGCATTATTAAGCAGTTAATTGTTTGGTAACCATAACCTTTCTAGCAGTATTGCGTGTTCAGTTTCTATGTTTGAAGGTTTATATTGAGAATTTGTATAGTATTTTTTTATATTTTAACAAATGGTTGTGTAGAATTAATTTTTAGTTTTATATATTGAACTGGAGGCGAAATTAGGCGTATGTTCTTATTGCATTGAAATATAAATAATTCCCTACAAGAGGCTCTCCTTTTAGTGCCTGCCATTATTCTAATGACCCTCTCGTGAATGTAAAATACTTTTTGCTGTCCGTTGAATTTCCCCAGTAAATGATTCTATATGACATGATGAAATGGAAGTAAGCAAAATAAACTAATTTTAAAGTTTCTGTTTTTATGAGTGCTGCAACTGCCCTTATAGCAAAACATGCTGAGATTAGTTTAGGGATAACATATTGAATATGCATTTTCCAGTTTAATTTGTTGTCAATTTGTAGGCATAGAAATTTAGTTGTTTCTATTCCTTGATCATTTTATCATCATACTCTATACTTAGATTTATACAAGTTCTGTTGTTAGTACAAAATTTCATGAAATTTGTTTTGTCAAAATTTAATGAGAGTTTATTGGCTTTAATCGTTTGTTCTATCTAGCAAAGACATCATTTATACAATTTTGAAAACAACCAATTTCTTGATGTGAAATAATAATATTAGCAAAGAGTATAGGTTTAGAATAAGAGTTGATGGTTGGGGGCAGATCATTGATATATACGAGAAAAAGCAGAGGACTAAGTATTGAACCTTGAGGCACTCCATGTTTTACAACACCCCAATTTGAGTAGGTGCTATCATTTGAATTTGATGATTTAATTTGTTGCTTTCTGTCATGAAGGTATGATTTAAACCACTTGCCAGCTATATTTTGAATTCCATGAAAATTTAGTTTTGATAGTAATAATTCATGATCGCCCTAATGATGGAGGCAGTCCTCCTCCTCTGTCCTTTACCCTTAACAGGGCGTGGTGGTGCTTCATGGGTTGGCTCTCCTGGCTTCTTCCTGCCAAGCCCTCCAGACCAAGGCAAGTTGTGAGGCCTCATTCAGAGTTTTCCCCACTAATAACTGCAGTTGGTTGACCCACCTGTTCGGTGATCTTTCTCGTGGTCTCCGTCCATTCACTTTTCCTTCCACTACCAGCTTCTCCATAGAGCCATTTCTCCTGGCGATGTGGCCAAAAAAACTTAGGTACGCCTGAGTTATCCTCTTAAGGAGCCTGGTGATGGAGGCAGTATGACCTTTGAAATGTTGGTGGAACTCTACCAGACTACACGGTGCAATAACCCAGAAGACAGCAATCTTCTTATGTTACCACTGATAAGCGAACAGTCTTCATCTTACATAAAAAGATTGAGAGTATGGTTTGAAGTAGATAAATGACTTTCTTGAATGCAGTTTAAGACTGTTTTGAAGAGCTGCTAGTGTGTGTGTGTGTGCTCTGGTTGATGCCTCTTCCTGTTAGTAATGGACCTGGTTTAATGCAACATTTTGTACAACTTTCAAACTTACAGGTGTAGCTATATTTGGAAATATCCAATGGAATTTACTCATTTATTTGCTGTAAGTTTTCTTTCTTGTAATAAAATCCTAGCAAGAAACTTACATCATTCAGTACTGTATCTTATCATAATTGGACACTTACTGAAGACTGCTCATAGGTTACTGTAGCAGCAGTCTTATTGTAGACTGTTTTTACGTTATGCATGAATCATTGACTGCCTGCCAGTTAATTATTGGCTCTGACAAGATGCTAGAGCTGTTACATGAGATGCTGTGTATGTTACTATGATCAGCCTATTGAAGAAATAAATCCTATGAAGTTCCTTGAAGTGTAGATTGTTATCAATTAAAATTGAGTAAGTCACACGGGTTACATGCCAAAATTAAGTCTAACATACTTCACAATTATATTTTTAAAGAAGACAACTGTTAACAGTGGTGTACTTCACATAATTTTCACTGATTTTTCCATATGAAATTATCTCCCGAGTAAAGAACTTATTCCTTTCGCAAGGAAATTAATCAGAATTATAACAGTTGTTTATGGAAGTGAGTCTTGTTGGGGTTTGTTTAAGAAGATTCTTACTATGTTTTACATATTGTTGCATATACAATGTGTTTCTTTAGTGGCATATTCTATGCACAAAAATTACATAAAATATGTATAAACATGGGACCTTTAGCATTTCATTTTTTAGCTGTTGCTTCCAATATCATCTTACTAAGGATTTTTATTAATGGGCCACTGTATTGTGTATGCTACAGCATGTGTGAATGACATTCATAGTTTATAAAACATAAAATTTTACCATCATACTCTGTGATTCATGTTGTTACTAGGAACGGACATGATCATCTTCCTGTCTTATATGAATACACTTGCACGACTAGCTCCTACAGAAATGTGCAGTAGTGTTATAAGAGTTCCTGTTGTCACACAACTAGTATATTGATGACTTTTGTAAACTTTCAGTAATGATTAGTAGTTGTCATTTGATGTGTAACATTATATATCTTGTGTATTTTAAAGTTTGTATTCTTATAAAATGGGTGCTGTGTGTGTGTTAATTTTGTTTTAAGGGAGGTATTTATAAATTACTATGCTGGGATTGTCCCTGGCAGCAAAACCTATACTAATAATATAGTAATGCATGTATGCATAGTTTCCCCCCCAAGTGTGTTTTAATAGATTTATAGATTTGAAACAGTAGTAATAAATACAAAATGGAAGTTTTACAAGCTGTCAAATATAGTATGACATTCTTTTGAATGATAAAATAATTTCTCCTGCAGGTGAAGTTTATGTTTTGGATGATGGAGGAGAAGTAGATCTTGATCTTGGAAACTATGAAAGATTTTTGGATATCACATTGCATCGTGATAATAACATCACAACTGGGAAAATTTATCAGCATGTCATAAGCAAAGAGAGAAGAGGTGACTTTCTGGGAAAGACAGTACAAGGTAAATGACTTGAATGAATGGAGCTTGGTGGCTAAAGAGTGAAAAGTGATGCTAAAGAATCAGCATATTTTCCTCTGAACTTGAAGTTTTGTACCAACTTAGACTGTGTTGTATGTTTGGCTTGTACATGTCCAGCTCTTGAATGTTTGTTATTAATATAAGAAGAGCAAATTAAGTTTGGAGGCATGTGATGGTGGTGCATTATGATATGTAAAAGTGATATTTTTGACTTTGTCCACCATCTGTATTTAATTAACATTACAGTGTTTTGGAAGTTGGCTGAACCAAGTGGCTCAGCAGCTAGGGTTTGTTGTCCTTCCCCTTTCGCCTAAAGACGGAAGAAGATCAGCTTCTGAAACGTGATTTTATTGAAATATAGACGATGGTCAAAGTCCAAAATATAAATTATACAGATTATAAGAATAGCAGTTTGAAGAAATAACTTCTGTTGTCCAATTTATTATACCAGTAACAGGTTTCTGTAGTGATGGGTGCTTGCTAAAGACACAATGCAAATAATATTCTTGTCATAACCTCAACATGTGTGATACTGCCAGGTTTTGTCCGTAAGTTGGAAATGTTATGTAAGAAAATAAGTTATATGTAAAATTATAATTTTACAACATTTCGCTATAGCATCAGAAGATATGCTTTTAAGATCAAGATATTTCTGAATGAAAGAGTTTAAAACAGTTCATTGAAACAACTTCAAGACAGTAGGTAGAAATAGTATTGCAGGAGGACACTGAGTTTTGTTGTTGTTGTTGTTACAGTTGTGCCCCATATCACAGATGCAATTCAAGAGTGGGTAGAGAGAGTTGCTAACCAGCCTGTAACTGAAGATGGAACGAAGCCACAGGTATGTTGAGATGATAAACTAAATTGCTGCAGTTCCTTAGACTTGGGTGTAATGTATCTGAGATTAAAACGTAATTACAGTATGAAGATGGCTGTCTTCTGGGGTGTTGCATTGTATAGTCTGGTAAGTTTATCAGCATTTGAGATGTATACTTTGCCTCCATTATCATCCGATATTGGAGGCTGCATATATGGTGTAACAACCCAGAAGACAGCCATCTACATACATTCCACTGTGAGAGCTTGATATCTCACTAATTACAGTGTTTCTGTTTCAGGTGTGCATTGTTGAGTTGGGTGGAACTATTGGAGACATAGAGGGAATGCCATTTGTTGAAGCGTTTAGACAATTCCAGTTTCGTGTTAAGAAAGAGAACTTCATTTGTGCTCATGTGTCTATGATTCCTCAGGTAAGTTGAGAAACCCATCATAAGAAATCACTTGCAGTGATTATATAGACAACATTTCCTCGAAGGGAAGACAAGGTTCATTCCTAATTTTCAGAAAATTGAAGGGTCATTTTGGATTTGAGTAAAAAAATGTATGTTTATATTTTTTATGGTTTGCATTTTAATGGATTGTTTTTAAACCATAGTGTATGCTAATGTTGCATCATTTTGTAGTAAATGAGAGAGAAGTATGTTTCAAGGTCAGTAGACACAAGCTGCCACGTTGCCAGAAATGGTTGTAGCTACGAATTGGCAATAATTCTGTAAGATCATACATTGTTGTAGTTCTTGGTATCTTCTGACATATCTCCGGTGATAGGGATTAGCTCTATCTATTGGGCCCAACAGAGTAGGTACCTGAAGATGGAGATAGAGCCCCATCCACGAAACGTCGTTTTCTATTTTATTATTTTACTAGACAATGGAAAATATCCAAAGAACTTTTTATTTAAATAACTCGCCATCGTCATGAACTTTTAGATTTAATATACATTTATTCCATTGGAAAAAACAAACGTCACATGTATATTGTTTCAGATCATGTGTCTTGTTACTTCAGTGGATGCTTTACACAGTTTTCCTACTGGAATGTTATGATCAGCCACTTAACAGAATGAGTGCAAAATAACAATGTCTTGAGCCCTGAAAGTGGCTCACAGCACTGTGTATATGTAAGGCTGTTTACTTCTTTAAACACTTACTGAATAAGTGCCCTTTTAAGTGATGGTGTCTTGATCCAAGAGTATTGGAACAGTTCTGATGCTTTTATCTGAATGTTTTAAGTGACAGTAGAATATGGAATTGTGCCTCAGGGTAAATTTGTGTGGTATGAATACACGTTGCTCATGAAAAATTTATTTTTTCTCACTGCATTTTTAAGGCATTAAACTAGAATTGTTCTTACTTTCAGCCTCGGACCACTGGAGAACCAAAAACGAAGCCAACACAAGCAAGTGTCAGAGAACTTCGAGGTTTGGGGTTGTCCCCAGACTTGATCGTGTGCCGTAGTGAGAATCCAATCGGTCAGGCTGTAAAGGATAAGATTTCAAACTTCTGTCATGTTGCTCCTGAGCAAGTAAGGTTTCTTTGTCACCTTTTCCCTCTTTACGTTGGTAACCCTGTCATCATTTCGTGCTACTTGATGTTAGATGATACGGTATTATTAAGTAACCCATGAAAGAGACAGTTTGTGAAGGGAGTTAAAATTTCTCATGAAAAGACAGATATGTTGTTTAAACTGGTGATATAGTGTCACATTACATTGTGTATGTGTTCATGTTTTGACACACACATACATGTACATGCAGCTGTCAATACTGGATATTTTCTACATCTGCACAACTATTTTTATGTAATTCAGTTTTACGAAGTTATAATGACATGTTTTAACACGGTAGTCATATTCAATCTATTTATATGCAGTCTGGCTATAAACTACATAATCATATGAGATAAAAGGTTCTTGTGGTAGTAATGCCATGTAGCTTTGTTGCTGGTAACCACCTTCAAGGCCATGCAGCACTGCAACCTAGATGACCCTTGTGTTGAAATATGTTGCTTTAATGCTGTTTGATCAATTTCTGTAAAAATTGTTGTTTTGACTGAATAAATAAACTATTTTTTCCTTAATTTTAAGGTACTTTGCATTCACGATTTGTCTTCCATCTACCGAGTACCAATTCTGATGGAGAGCCAAGGAATTTTGGAATTTTTCAATGACCGTCTCCAATTGAATATTCCAATGCCTCCTCCAAGAAAATTTATGCATAAATGGAAGGATCTTGCTGAAAGGTTTGTGCTGAGATTTACATTGAAGTGACATTTTATTGCACTGTGTTATATTTAGTGTGGGTCAGCCTTTGAAGTTAATAATTATATAAAATATATTGCTAGTCACAGTGCAGTGAATGACAGTGTAAGGAACACTGAGCTTGTTTCATTTCTTCATTAAACAGTTTTTGGATTAACAAAAATGCGAATTTAATATAGTTCCCCGACCACAGAACATGTGTTGTTGATGTTTATATATACAGAATGATCCAAAATGTACCTACCAGATTTAAACAGTTTTATCCACAAGTGATTATAATTTGAATAAACTTTGCCGACACACTGTAGTATTCAGTTTATCATTTCCTTTGTTTAATTTTGTATGTACCAAAAAATTGTGTCATACAGTACCAAGCAGCAGGTATTCATAATTAAAGAGTACATTTGATTATCTGAAAGCCCAGACAAGTCAGAAATGTTCCAGGTAAAGTTCGGCATCAAAATTGGACTGGACAGCACTCAATTTCAAACCTCATCAAGAAATTTCACAAGACAGGATCCAAAGTGTTTCAAACTTTGGGATGAGATTGCAAAAGAACAACAAAGTTTTGGGAAGACACATTGAACACATTGTAGTATAAATGTCTTGATATGCTGATTTGAATCATATTTTTATGCCTTATTGTTCAGGTGAAATAATGCCTTAAACTCAGTAGGCACATTATTGGCCATTCTGTATTTGCTGGTGCAAACTCCATTCACTCAAGGTTGCCAGCACACTTATTTCTGATGGAAATATGTGTTGGTGCATGAAACAGAGAAAAGATGTACTCACAGAAGAATATTAACATTGTGAATGGATACAATAACATGGATGAACATGAAACTTGCTTTTTCCTTATTCTGATCATTGTGTGGGGCAAATTTAAGACTAGGTTTATTAATGTAACAAAACAAAGTTGAATTGGTAATTTACAGGTTTTTATTCATAAATAACTTAAAAATTGGAAACAGTTTAGCAAGTGTTGAAAAATAAAGTTCATTTATCAAGTTTGTGAAAGATATTAGAACATATAAAAACCCTTTCAAAGAGACTCCAGTGCATCATTATTACACTTTATTATAGTATGTTGAGCTAAATGACAAAGCCACCAGAAAGTTTATAATATATGAAATGAATGGGTGTCATTGATTGTTAATCAGAGTTGAAGTGTCCAATGTAAAGCTCATGTGAAAAGTTTTTAGAAGCCCAAAGCATGTCAGACATGCAGAAGTTAACAGAAGTGTTTTATATGTGTATGAGAGAGTGAAAGAAGGAAAAAATGGTAGTTCTTGTCAGTAGAAAAATTATACAGTTTAAGGCATTAGAAGTTGTCAGTCACACTAACGCCATCACGTTTGTAACAAAGTGGTTTTGTGTTAAGACAAAAACAAAATTGCACTCAGACAAGGACACTGGGTATTAAGGGCTAACTGTGGGTATAAACATTGCAACAGGTAGTAATGTCATTACATCAACCCTTATTAATGTGGCAGAGACAGTCTCTGAAATATTGGACATGAACTCTATTTTCACACAGCTGGTCACTGGATAATACTTCTTCACACTAGGATGCCATGAAAGTTTCAAATTTTAAGTATTATTATTTGTTTGAATAAAAAATATTTGTGTCCACTTTACCTTATTCTTGTACATAATGTACTATGGTTATTCTCTTTTTGTTATGCCTGCTGAGAAATTTAGCCTCCTGTATATTCAACCCACTTCTTACTGTATTGACTTGTGATATTGGCTTTTTTTCTGTAGTTCCACAGTGAATAGAAACCCTTTTCTTCTTCAAGAAAACTGACAGAACCATTCACTGAAATGTCATATCTGTTGTGACTTACTAGATGGTATTAAATGGAGCCTTATTTTAGTCGTACTCTTTTACATAAAGAGATCTAATAACATTCATTACTGAACTATTTTGAAATAAAAGACCAGAACATGTGGAACTTATGTGTAATAAAATAAGCACCACAGTGTAAAGTTGCTTTTCAGGAGTAGGGTACATTAATCTGAATAAAATAAGAATTTTTTATTGGTTTGGATGGGATATATGTTTTAGATAGTATTGGATTAAATTTACTTTTGTGACTGCTTTGAGAATCAAGTTGCAGTGTTCTAAGAACACGGTGATGAATTTTAAGTCCTTTAAAATCAGGGTATTTCTTAAATGTTTGAATAACCATCAGCTGCTTATGGAAGACGTACACTTTGGATCTACTAATTACAGATTAAGGAGTTGGTTAAACTTCCTCCATATTCTGTTTCTTGTTTGTTTTGAGATCCAGGAATTATTTTCAGCAATGATACTTATTTCAGGGCAGACACATTATGCAAGGATGTAACAGTTGCTCTTGTTGGAAAGTATACAAAGTTGGAGGATGCCTATGCTTCAGTGACCAAAGCTCTTCAACATGCAGCAGTAGCTGCTGGCTTCAGACTCAAGATTAAGGTGCAGAGTAAAGAGAATTTATGTTCTCCTAACACATTTCATTTGGTATCTGGTTTTTGTAATTATATGTATAGTGTTGTATTCTTGATGTGTCTGTTTGAAAATGTCTGCTACATATGAAAAGTGTTTCTTTGTTGCAGTACATTGAGGCAGCTAATTTGGAAGAAGCAACAAGAAGGTCTAATCCAGTCCCATATCATGAAGCTTGGCAAGAGCTCTGCAAAAGCGAGTAAGTTCTATTAGTGTTTGGTAAAACAGTTGCAAGAATGAAGTTGGGCTTTGTGAAGGAAATGGTTTTTGAAAGGCATTTTTGGCTGAAGTTTCTGTTCAGTAAGTTACTGTAAACTGAAATCTCAAGGTTTTCCAAAGATGAATTAAGATGCTAAAATAATGAAACAACAAAGGCCTGTAATATGCAATTTATATTTTCATTTTTATTGAAACACATACTTCTACATGGGTGGATTTTAATAAAAGTTGCAATTTTTATATTATTTAAGGGGAGATGGTTACCCGAGTCTCTGCAACATTAATTTTGTCTTATTAAGGTGCATTTCTCTAATTAGTTACAAATACTAAAATTATGAGGTTTTTGTATTTAATCATTTGTTTTCATGGTAATATACTTGTAAGTCCTTTTTGTTTTTCATGTCCATTTTCCTGCAGCTGTTTTTTACAGACAGGTACATTTTTCTCAGAAGCATGAAATTTTTACCAGTAATTATGCTGCTGTTAGTGATGACTGGCCTTTTTTACACCTCTAACACAGTCATAAAGTTATTAATTTTTTAAAAAAATGGTCTTTTTGGGGAAGAAATATAAAAAAATCTTTATAAGCGTGTTAATATGAAAAAATGTCTGTAGATACAGAAAACCCACAGCTAAATGTGTACCAGATTTTATGGCTGTAGTTTTTAGTTATTAAGAAAAATGTGTTTTAATGTGACAAAATTGACATTTTGGAGGTAGGGTTTACCACTTCCTGTTTAAGAAAGAAAGAAAGGAAAAGAAAGAGAACCTTTTGTAATTTTGGGCCAATGTGATGTAGGTGTAAACATTTGTTCAGAGTTCAGTTATAAGTTCTTCAAGTGCCATTTGCGTCTCTGGGGAGTGTCTGTTAAAATCTGTCAATCTATATTTTAGAATGGAAGAACAGATTTTCATAAAATCTTATATTAATGAATTTTTCTGAAATCTTTGGTTCAAATCAGATAACAATAATTGGCATGTTGCATGAAAATCTACATGTATTCCTGCAAGGCATGGTGAAGTGATAGGCGTGGCATCTGTAGGCTACCTTTGTTATCATGGTTAAAGGTCTGAGATCAAATCCTTTTAAAATCCTAGAATTTTTATGCTATGAATACAGTTTATAACTTGTTCAATGTTATTTATGATATGCTTTCAAAGAGTGTGTATTGAAGCTTGCCATTTTTTCTGCTTTTAGTGGCGTAATTGTCCCTGGTGGTTTTGGTAAACGTGGTATGGAAGGAAAGATGGAGGCTTGTAAATGGTGCCGAGAAACCAAGAAGCCATTTATAGGCATATGCCTTGGCCTGCAGGCTGCAGTCATAGAGTTCTCAAGGTCTGATAAATGACACATATTCTTTTGTGAAAACTTGGTGTGTTTTTGTTTGTTTACTTACATTGAACTCTTTTGAATATTAATTTGCAGTAATTTTCAGTTGGTGAAGATATGTGGGGCATTCAGGATGGCACAGCTTTGAATGTTGCTTCTACTATTTATCACCAGATACTTTATTGCAATTGACTTATAAGTTGATGCTTTTGAATTGGTGTGCCCAAGTTATGTTAAACCATAATATTCATTATAGTGAATACCAGACCAACTGACATTACTTGGTGGTTATAAGGTTAGGTATTTGAAAATCAGACATACATCTTCATTATCCCCCCTTATATTTAATATAAAATCTTTCATTTGAATGTCATTGTGTTATGGTCATGAAGTGTATTGGTAGCTGTTATTATTTTATCCCTCTGTAATTTGTAATTATTTGTGTTCATTCCTTGAACAGGTGAAAAATCATCTTTCTTGGAATGTAGGAGGTAGGTTTGTGTTTCTTATGTGCATCTGTCTTGTGTGAAAGAGATCTCCATTACCTGTTTAACAAATCATTGATGTTAAACATCTCTAGTTGTTTTACATATTGAAATCTTTCATTTAGATTTGTTTATTATGGAAATTATATGTATGAAAGGAACTTGAAAAGTAATTGTAATTAATTATTTTTCTGTATTGTATGAAAAGTACACAATAATAGATGTACTGTCATTTTAGGTGAACAGCAGGTTTCAATCCCTCTAAAAGCATACTGCAATACTCTGCACTATTGACTGCCTGTCTATGATTCTGGTGGTGCTTGAGGATGGGCCAGTGAAAGTCCTGAAACAGTGTCAACATCACTTTGCCAGCAGGAGGCATACTTTAGAGTTTCTTGTTTCTGGGCAATGACATGTGCTCACCATCATGCTTCATGTTTGCTTGCAGGTTCATGGTGGTGCACCGATGTTTTCTTCTTCTTTGACAATCTGTTGCAGGAACACCTCTCGTTTTACAGTATTGCTGCAAAAATTGCATATGTTTTGATTCATGCCTATTTGTGTTCATTTGTAATCTGAAGATGGCTGTCTGTGTTGTTGCACCTTATAGTCTGGCAGAAGTTTACCGACGTTTCAGAGATCTTTGCTGCCTCCATCATCAGGGCGACCTAATAATGGAGGCAGCAAGGATCTCTGAAACGTCAGTAAACTTTTACCAGACTTCATGGTGCTACAACCCAGAAGGCAGCCATCTTCAGACTCACTGCTGTGAAAACCTCAATCCAAATCTGTTTTGCACAAATTTTGTGATATCTGAAGTTCTTGTGGATGGCGGAATATGTACATCCATAGTTGATGTTCAACTTGTTGGCTTTATCATTGACAATAACCCATTTGTTCTCTTGAACCAGAGCATTAGCTTGTTCAACATTGTCCACTGTTTGTAAAGTAGTCAGGCAGCTTGAGTGGTCTTCATCAACGACACTTGTACTACTTTTCAACTTTTCCATCCATTGGTGTGCTGGCCTTTGCCTAATACTGTTTATATTCTGCTAACATTTTACTCTGCTACCTCTGACCACAAAAATCAAATGGTAGCATGATTCTCAACATTGGTAGTCAATCCAATCCAAATGTGGAGCCAATATGTTTATAATATGATTGCATGAGCTTCAATGAATGTAACAGCTGCTTTATGACATGCATGTATTTACATAGGCCATTGACTGGGAATGAATCTTTACATCTTAATATCTTTTGCAGGTGGTCCATTAATTACAAATCTAAAATGAAAGCTTAATGTATTTTATGACAGAACATCATAGTTAAGTGGTTATCTCAACTACTTCATATGTGGAAGGTCCCAGGTTTAAATCTTGGCCTGTAGACCAGCAATACTGACTGAGGTTTTTTGTGGTCCCTCCAGGTAAATTTCATGATAGAGCCTTAAATTAGGCCATGGCTGCTTCCTTCCACATCTTTCCCACTTCATTACTGTAATCCTCTAGTAAGTCTAGAACTGAAAACACTTCTGAATCCTATTCACATACATTAGTAAGTAACTTGTTTGTTGATCTTGCAGAATTTAATGCACATTTTGTGATATCTGAAGTTCTTGTGGAAGGCGAAATATGCACATCCATAGTTGATGTTCAACTTGCAATTGCATTCTTGGACATTATTAAATGGACATATGACAAAGCATTGGGTTGTAAGTACTGACTACAAATGGCTGTGTGCTGTCTGGAATTTATTTTTATTCACAAATTGTGTTTCTAAACCCCTATCCTCAATAACCAGTAAAGAAGGTTTAATAATAAGCACCATCTTATGACCATAGCTCTTCTGTTACAGAAATGTACTTAACCTGGCAGATGCCAATACAACAGAGATTGATCCTGACACTGAAAGTGCAGTAGTAATTGACATGCCAGAATACAATCCTGGGATAATGGGCAGTACGATGAGGCTTGGGAAACGCACTACAGTATTTGCACATGATAATTCAATACTTAGTGAGTATGAAATTACAAGTTACTGTTGCTCAAATGATTGCTTAAAATGAATTTTATTCTACGCAATTGTACTAAATTTGTACAATTTTAAAATTGTACATAATTAATAAGAAAACATAAATTAATACTCTGTGTATTTTAGTACTACCATGTGCATCTCTGTTTCTCACCAGTCTTATTGTAAATCCATTCTTAAATTGTATGTTTGCATTTTAAAATGTAATTGCTGTGATTTTTTTCATTCTAAGGCATTTTCACTTCAGCTGGTTTATTTATAACTAGTTCTCTTCATCTGTTTCTGTCTCCCCACACCACCTTCTCCTTAGTTTCATTACATGGTCCTATGTCTGACATCTTTTCTAACTTGTTGTTAACCATCTTTATCTCTGCCTGTGTTGTAGGAGTGAGACAATGTTTAAGTTAGGAATGGGGTGTGAGAGTGAAACAGATCAGGTAACTAGTCCCTTACACCTCCAAGCTGTAAGGTTGCTGAGAAGGTCTGAAAACCCTGAAAATGAACACTCAGTGGGGCTATGGTGAAGCTGTGTCAGGCCCACTGGATTTTGAACCAGCTTTAAAGAAATAGCGTAGCCTCAGAGGGTGATCCAAGGTAGAAGACCTAGCAATACTATGGTTTACCACCAGATTTTAATTCCAGATAATGATTATACAAAGGATGTACCAAATCTGGCAAATTTTATTCAGAACATGAAGCATTTACCTAATATTCCCTTAGCAGTTGATATGTGCTTAGGTACTGAAGACATTCCTTGCTGTGGAACCTGATATTACATTACCTTTGCTGTGAAAGCCTGTTATTGAACATGTTTCTTACCCAGTATGCACCCTCACAACTGTTTACCCAAGGTCACTTGTATTATCTTGTCTTATGTCTGACTTTCCTTGCTGTCTCCCATAAAGACAAAGACGTGAAGACCAAATAGAGACAAGAAATGCATAATAAACTTCATTATTTAACCATCTCAAGTAAGAAAGGACTATCCACATTACTAATGCTAAATCTTGATTTTGAATTTCAGGACAGTTGTATGGAAACAAGGACAGAATTGAAGAAAGACATAGGCATCGGTATGAAGTGAATCCAAAATATGTTTCTCAACTGGAAGCTGCTGGCATGAAGTTTGTTGGTAAGGGAGTGTCTGATTCTGTAAAGGTCAAGTACTTCTGTCACCAAAGCTTGGTATTGAACAAGGCCCAGAGCTAGCTCCCCATTCTCTCAGTTTCTCTCCATAAATATGTATTAAGTTATACAAGGTGCGATCGGAAAGTTTCAAGACTGTGTCAATAGAGGGCGAACCGGATGTAGTACGAGCTTCTGCCGCTAGGGGGTGCGGCTTACATTCATAGTGAATCAGTGTGCCAGCTGGCATCATCGAATTAGCATTTGTTTCTTAGTTACGGGTATTTTGGTAGTGCATTACACCGACCCTCCTGCGATTTCGGAATGGCGTGTGCATCAAATTTTGCCAAAGACTCGCCAAAACGGCTACGGAAACCTATGAAATGCTAAAGCAAGCATTTGGGGAGTCCGCAATGGGTCGTGCACAAACTTTTGGGTGGCATTCACGTTTTAAAAATGGCCGAACCCCTGGCGATGATGACGAGCGTTCTGGACGACCATCTCCGAGCACAACGCCCGAAAATGTTACGAAGATCGACGTCGTACCATCAACGACTTGGTCGACATTGTTGGGATAGGCTATGGGACCGCCGTGTGACTTCTTCCTCTTCCCCAAGATGAAAATTCAGCTAAAGGGAAGGAGATTTGAGACGATAGAAGAGATTCAGGCAGAATTGCAGATGGTGCTTGACAGGCTGACAAAGAAAGATTTCCAGGGATGCTTCCAGGCTTGGCAGCGGCGCTGGGATCGTTGTGTTCACTCCCAGGGGAACTACTTCGAGGGTGATGGATGAATTTAATACCTGAGATAAGTGTACGGGTTTTTATAGGCACAGTCTTGAAACTTTCCGATCGCACCTCGTATTCTCATTTCTTTCTAAGTTTTCATTACAAAAATTCTGTGTGCTTTTCATATTATAGTGCTTCCCTCCGCAGAGCTACATAACTCTAGTTCACTATCCTAACAATACCAGATATTTGTACAGATCATTCAGTTCATTACATTATGTCCTAAAGTGTCCAATTATCACTCTTACACTCAAATATTACGTTTTCAGACGTATGATTGAGATCCTTCCCTTGAAATGAGTGGCTCGTCTTTTACTATTGCACAGCACATTCTCAGATTGTGTCTGGAAATGGGGCAAAGCTGCAAATACATTAATTACTCAGCCAACAAAGAGTGAGAGAACCCGTTTGGCTCTAATAAGCTGTTAGAAAGGTTTCAAGTAGTGTGACTAACCAATGATATATTTATTCTACTGTATAGTTACTATTCAGGACCATGAAAATATTTCCCAAATTTCTTAGGATTTCACCCACTTCTTGTTGCAATTATGTGGATGTAGAAAATAAAATTACAATGAACTCTAAAACAAAAGCCATGAAAAGAAGCTTTGATGATGTTTATGAGACATTGTCAGTGCACCAACAGTATAAACAAATTCATGCAGACCAGTGGTATGCAGTTATGTGTAGGTTGGTTTAAAAAATAAATCAAGACAAACCAAAAAAATTGTTTTTTTATTTTAATGTTCAGATTTTTCAGTCAAAATCAGAAACATTTTGTATTCAAGTTAATTTTTGTTATTGAACTTCCAAGTAGTTAATCAACAGTAATTTCATATAATTTGGTTACTTTTTTCACATTTAATCACTTTATGCTTTAGCCTTTTGTGAACGTTGTTAGTTCACTGAAATTTAATGTTATCACTTGTAACCTTGAAGAAAACAGGATTCATTCAATACTTACAACTACTGCTAAAGAAACATGACTTGAGATGACTGTATGGGCTCAATTTCCAACATGTGCTGCCTGACTGGTAATGCTACCTGTTTGACTATTTTATTGTTGATGCTAATACTTCCTAAATTAGAATCATTGGATGGAAGCAAAAGTAATAGTTGGAACTTGCAGAATGGAACATGATGTGTTTTGAAGTTACATGTGATATGGTTTTTGTCGCTTCAGGCCGTGATGAAGATAATATTCGTATGGAGATTGTTGAACTGGATGACCACCCTTACTTTGTAGCAATGCAGTACCACCCAGAATACCTCTCCAGGCCTTTGAAGCCTTCTCCCCCATTCCTTGGCTTGATTCTGGCATCAGTCGGAAAGTTACATTCGTACTTGGCTCGTGGCTGTCGGTTGACTCCAAGACTGCTGTCAGATGATGATTCAGGTAATTACCAAAAACTGGATATTCGCAAATTTAGAAAATATGGACTACTTAACTAGAGTAACTAATAACTGAAAAATATCTTTGATGGTTTGTATACCAGTTTGTTTTGTTATTCCACATTTTTCAAGTTTTGATCTGACCCATTTTTGTCTTTCTTTCTGCCGATGTGGGTGAAGGAATCAAATTCTGTTGACATTGTGCTCACACTGATATAATGATAATAGTACTTGAAGCTTTAGTTGACTAACCTTTATACCACATGTTGGAACATTATGTATGATCATACTGATCTTCAAAGATATGCATGTAAAAAAACATCTTCATTGGAGCAACAGTATTAACCCTTTGTGGTCCCTCTTAAATACCATTACGGCTCTCTGCTGGTCTGTTTAAATACCACTAAGCTGTATAAATTCATCTACTATTATGAACTGGTTTGATGTTCTTTTATAACTTTCATAAAATGGAAGAAACTTTGCTAAATATGGCGAAAATATGTTCTGAGAGGATGATAGTTCCTTTTGTTTGAATACTGACCGTGTGAAATATTTTTCATGGACTACCACTGTCACTAGTAAGATGTGTAATAAGTGGTGCCTTTTTGCTTGCCGTCGTTAGGTAGAGAATAAAGCAAGTCGCAGTCAATAGATATGACTTTGGTGACACTAAACATCTCTTATTGCATGCAGATATATGATGTACAAGCATTGGGTTTCATAATCTCAGAGCTATGCTTCCTGTCGCGCTGATTGTGATTGAAAGATCAAGACCAAGTTTAGCACCATAAAAGTGTAACAGAACGCGAAGTGTAAATGATGAAGTCACTACAAATAAAGAATGATTGATAAAAAGATGAATGAATATGCATGTCTGTGGTGGATTGCTCTGTACGTCAAAAATAATTTAAAAAAATATAATTTTGTACTAGGAAGATGGGATATTTGTTTTATAACTCTACCAGATATAAAATAATTCCGTTCTAAGTAAATATGACAGGTACACAACAGATGGTATTCCTTCACTATAAGGTGTATGGCAAAACACTTGGTGTGGAATCCTGGCTTCTTTGGACACGTGTCAGAATAAAATGACTTTTCTCTCCTGCTTTCTTTCACTATTATGAGGTACACAAAGTCTTATGAGGAAAAGTAGGATAGAACTAGTGCAAAGAAGAAAGCTTGAATGATATGCTGACTCTGTTTGGTAGCCTCAGTTTGACTCCAGATCACGTAAAAAAATTGTAAATTACATGGTGGACTCAGTATGACAGTGGACCGCAAAGGGTTAAAAATTATAAAAAAAGTTTACTAAAATATTAAGTCTTCATGTTGTTTGTTTCAGATGATGAAATTCCAAGAACAATGTTTAAAGATAATTTTGTGATATCAAAAGATATGCTGATTGAAGAAAGAAGCAAAAGTGTATGTAATAGTGCTTAGTGCATTTATAATGGTTACCAAACTTTTGAATCAGGATACATGCGAAGGAATCTGATTGCTGATCTAGTACATATCAAATGGAAAGGGTTGTAAACATGTGTGCATTAGAATGACTTTTTCAGTTTGATACAAGAATTTGGAAAACATTTGAGAACAGAGATGAGAATTTTCTCTACTAGACCAACTTTTCACTAGCCATTTTTTTCAGAGTTCATTAAAGTGTACTGCTGTTGATCTTAGAACTTACTGTACAGGACTTCAGTGTCCCTGGAAGGAAGTGGGGTGATTAAGGATAGGGAGTGCAAGGGGTTGACTGGGTTGCATGCCAATATGATTGCTGTCAGTGTAGAAAACATTTACAGTGTACATTCCAGGAATGCAAGTGCAAGGTTGTACATTACTACCAGATGGATCTTGTCACAGACTGGAGTGCATACTAGTACTGCTTGTATGTTGGCATTGCCGATATTGAGATGAGTTGGTGGTTTGATGGAGTG